GGCAGGAGAGGGTGGTTATTATTGGGGGGGGTTGTCTCTAGACGAGGAGGGGACCCCGATATCCGGGGAGGGGACCCCCGTTATCCGGGGAGACTCCTCACCTTGGCCGCCGAGGGGGACAACACCTTCTTCTTCTTCTTAATCTTGATGCCGGGGATGGGAGCGGAGTTGAGGGCGTCGAGGAAGCCGAGCCCTTCCATGGCTGCGGGAAGGAGGGGAGGTGTCACCCCAAACCCCCCAAATTGTCCCCAAAAAGCCAGCCAAGGGTCCCCAAAAAGGCACCTAAATTCTCCCCCAAAAAAGGCACCCAGGTGACTCCCAAAAGGCACCCGAAGTGGCCCCAAAAGGGCACACAATTGTCCCCAAAAAAGCACCCAGCGAGGAAGCCGAGCCCTTCCATGGCTGCGGGAAGGAGGGGAGGTGTCACCCCAAACCCCCCAAATTGTCCCCAAAAAGCCAGCCAAGGGTCCCCAAAAAGGCACCTAAATTCTCCCCCAAAAAAGGCACCCAGGTGACTCCCAAAAGGCACCCGAAGTGGCCCCAAAAGGGCACACAATTGTCCCCAAAAAAGCACCCAGGTGTCACCAAAAACCACCCAAATTGTCCCCAAAAAGGCACCCAAATTCTCCCCAAAAAAGGCATCCAGGTGTCCCCAAAAAAGGCACCTTGTCCCCAAAACGCACCCAGCGTCCCCCAAAATGGCACCCAGTGTCCTCAAAACAGCACCTGAAGTGTCCCCAAAACAGCACCTAAATCGTCTCCAAAAAGGCACCTAAATCGTCCCCCAAAAAGGCAAACTGTCCCCAAAAGCCACCCAAAGCGTCCCCCAAAAAGGCAGCCAAGTATTCTTAAAACAGCACCCAAAGCGTCCCCAAAACGGCACCCAGGTGTCACCCAAAACCACCCGTATCGCCCCCAAAAAGGCACCTAAATTCTCCCCCAAAAAAGCACCCAGGTGACTCCCAAAAGGCACCCAAAGTGTCCCCAGAAGGGCACCCGATTGTCCCCAAAAAGGCACCCGAACTGTCCTAAAAAAGCACCCGAATTGTCTTAAAAAAGCACCCGAATTGTCCCCAAAAGGCACCCAGCTGTCCCCAAAAACAGCCCCCCAAGGTGTCCCCAAAACCAGCCCCCCAAGGTGTCCCCAAAAAGGCCCCCCGAAGCGTGTGTGTGTGTGGCCCCCCCCCGGCTCAGGCTGGGGCGGGATGATCTTGACTTTGATCTCCTTGGTGGCGTTGGGTGCCGTGTTCAGGGGTTTGTATTTCTTCTCGGCGGGAGGAACGTCT